TTCTATCAGGTTTGATATCGGTTTGGAAAAATATTTGCACAGTTTGAAAAAATATGACATTCCATTTTCTTGATATTAGATTAAACAAATTTTAAAATGTTGACACTTTGTGGGGAAGATACCAGAAGGAGTGGACCGATGGGTCCCATATTCAAGCTTGATTTATGTGGGGAAAAATATTACTATGTGCAAAGTTTGGATGAAATTGAATATTTCGTTCGTTTAATAAAAAATTTACAAAACTTCAAAATTTTGACCATTTATGGGGGAGGAGTAGACCGATAAGTCCCATTTTCTCACATTATAAAGGCATGGTTAAAATATTAGGTTGTTCGACGTTAAGATATTATAAAATTCGCGTGATATTATAAAATTAATTTTAATCAACATTTCTACCGTTTTATTGGGGAGGTACCAGAAGCAGTGGACCGATGAGTCCCATCTTCGAAATTGAATTTAGTTCCAAAGAAATATTACGATGTGTATATTTGGCATCAAATCACTCGGACATCATTGTTATTAGATTACCAAATGTTTTAAAATTTTGACCCACTGTGGGAGAGGTACCACAGGGAATGGTCCGATGCGTACCATATTTGAATTCGTTCTAGGCTAAGTAAAATTATTGCAATGAACATAGTTTGTTAGATATTGGATATTTTCGTTCGCTCTATATCAGATATACAAAGTTTCAAAATGTTGATCCTTTTTGTGGGAGGTACTAGAAGGACTGGAACGATAAGTCCCATATCATAAAATATTACATTGTGTAAAGTGAGGTTGCTCTGTTCGCATGATTTTATAAAATGCACTTTCAGCAGAAATTTGACCATTGTGGAGAAGGTACCAGAAGGGGCATATCTATTTTACCCATTTTCCAACTTAATTTCTAGAAATGTTACGATGTGCACAGTTTGGTTCAAATCGAATATTCCAATTGCCCGATATTGGATTAATAAATATTGAAAATTTTGACCATTTGTGTGGAAGATCTAGATTTCGTAAATATAATAGGTCGTGCAAAGTTTGTTTCAAATCTAATAATCCGTTCCCAAGATATTGTACAAATTTTGGGAAATTTTGGGGAGGTACGAGAAGAGGTGGACCAATATTATCCATATTCGAAGTTGAGCTATATTTGGAAGTTTGAATAAAATAGGTTACTCCCTTCGAGAGTTATAGTGCACACCATCCGGGCCGATAGACACCCTGAGAGACATTTGTAAATAAATTGTATGAAATGGATTTGGTCCATAGAAACATTGGGGTCTAAACCCCCCATTAACCCCAAGGCTACCAAAAACAATGTGTTCTACATGCAAAATTTGGTGAGAATTGGTCCACTACTGTAGCATGTATAATGGACAGAAGGACGGACATGTCTACATTGACTCAGCTAGTCGAGATATGACGATTTCGCGGTGTCAGAAACTCGTGTGGCCACACCAAACTATGATACCCTTACAACATATTCGTGTAGGGTATAACAACATATGCATTCTCATAAATAATTACGATTGGCCTTTCACCTTGTCACGGAGCACCTCGATGCAGGTGTGTTACCCAACCCCTGCCCCATCTCAGCGATTAGATAATCCAAAACATAATAAAAGCATCAATTATTTGTTTTATTGTTTTAAATGCAACAATAACAACAACATCCAAATAATTTCAACTTCTTCCGCCCGAATGCAAAAAAACCAAAACTAAAATGGGGCCAACATTTGAAATCAATTCCAGATAATTCAATCTGCCAGATAATTCAATTCAATTGAAATGTACGCAGCCTCAACTTTCTGATTGATATGGGGCAATAAGTCAATGAAAACGTAAAGTAATGAGTAAATACCAAAACCACAACAGCAACAACAACGAGAAACGGACACAATAATAAGCAACAATTATAACATGACACGAACGAACGAACCGACAAATAAAGAAATCATGTTGGACCACAAAATCCATTCATTCATTGAATGGTATGTAAAAAAATTAACACCCTGACTGGCATTTGTGGGCGGTGTGTACAAAATAATGACAAGTCATGGTGGCACACGCATGCGTTGCTGTAAGTACATAAACATTATGCACAGTATTTGGAAGAAACATAATGAATACAAATTATGAAATATCGACAGTATAAGCTCGAATAAGTTTGAAATAAATCGACTAAGTTTGTACAAATCCCTTTAAGGGACCCCCATTCTCGATTTTAATTTTTCAAGATTTTCAATGGGCTGGTAAATATATACCAAAGCTTGTTAAGGTTTGTAATGTTGCACATATATATTTGAAGATCTAAAAGAGAATAAAAAATAATTTACAAAATTTTTGTTATTGTTTTTTGTAATTAAAGAAAATTCTTTATTTTTGATGGAGGGCATTACAACTCCTCACTGGAACATCGGAATCCAATAATTCCGACGGTGTTAGAAAGAGTACATGTATGGCTCTCGTATGAACTAGGATTATTGACTTCGCAAAAAAATATTTTTGGAAAATCGCCGACTTTTGACCACAAACCAGTTTAAAAAATAAGGAAGATCTTCACCGATTAGCTTTGTCCAAATCTGAACCGATTTCAACAAAACTTCGCATACATTAGTCTAGACCTATTACAGTACTCTATGCTAAATGTTGTTTAAATCGGAAATATTGGTACTTTGGTGCATCATTCATATAAATTCGGACGAAGCTATGTATGGAAGCTATATCTAAATCTGAACCGATTTAAAAAAACTTCGCATACGTTAGTCTAGATCTAATTCAGTATTCTGTGCAAAATTTTGTATCAATCGGACAAATATTGGGAGTTTGGTGCATCATTTACATAAAATCGGACGAACCTATATTTGGGAGCTAAAGTGATTTCAACAAAACTTCGCATACATCAGTCTAGACCTAATTGCAAAATTTTGTCTCAATCGGACAAATATTGGGAATTTTGTGCACCATTTACAAAAAATCTGAGGAAACTATGTATGGGATCTATATCTAAATCTTAACCGACTTGAACAAAACTTGGCATACGTTAGTCTAGACCCAATTCAGTACTCTGTGCAAAATGTTGTCTCAATCGGACAAATATTTGTGAGTTTCGTGCATCATTTACTTAAAATCGGACGAAAGTATATATGAAAGCTATATCTCAATCAGAACCAATTTTCTCCAATGCATAAATCGACTCAGAAAGTGATTCTATGCATATTCTCAAAAGGAACCATGCCTAACCATGTCTATATTGTTTATTTTTGCCTTTTACAAACATATGCACGAATACATAATACCCTGTACAAGAGTGTAGTGAAGGGTATAATGAAGAGAACTATGTATTTGCATGGGGCTATATAAAATGTGGTCCCATATTACAATTTTTCGTAAAGGAGCTGAAGGACATAATAGTCTTTCGAAGACTTTGTAGGCTTTCCAGCTCTTCTTAGGAAACCTTGAGGCTGATTATAGGGGCAGAGTGTCTGTTGTACGTCAGCTGTAGTGTCAGAGAGTCGTTCGTATAGGAACTGAAGGATCAACGAACCTTATGTAGAGGGGCTGGGTGGTTCAGGGTAGACATCTATATATTAGAAATCCATCGGAGGATCTGTATATATATATAGAAGGCCGTCTGGGAATCTTATGAATTTTCAAGATTTGAAATATGGACTGGCGTTTGGAAAGGCTTATTGTAGTACAACCGTAGACCTAATCCCCTTCCCAAAACTGAAGACACCGATGAAAGGAATCTAAACACAGTTAGGTTGGAAAACGGAAATTAGGCAGACTTTTTGTTCTTGGGGCAACTTCAATAAAAGGTTGGACCTATATTGCAAATTTTTGGCATAGAATTTGTTATTTCACCAGAAACCCGTAACTTCAAATTACAGTCACTTTGGAGGAAAAAACTGCTGGAATTTTCAAAATTCCGAAAACAGAACGTGACCTTTATATGTGGGGCTATGGCAAAACATGAAACTGTTTTGAAATTTTTCTGTAAATATATTGTTAACTCTTCAAGAACACGCAATATAAAATCTATTAACATGCCGAAAATGGAACGGGATTTAAATACACATTAAGAAGACTCTGCAAAGATTTTTTCAATTCTCCATGAATGCGGAATGCAAAATTTGACTGAATTTCACCCCAAATGAAAATGAAGCGTGAGCGTAAATGGCTATAACAAGCAAATGGCTATAACAAGAATGCGGAATGCAAAATTTGACTGAATTTCACCCCAAATGAAAATGAAGCGTGAGCGTAAATGGCTATAACAAGCATGGACTTATAAAAACATTTTCTGGGATTTTTTTTTCAGAAATCAAAATGCGAAATAACAGCCTCATCGGTGGGAAAATGCTGAAGTTTTTTATTATGTTTTTAACATATTGAACCTTTTTTCGGCCTCCATCAACTCAGAATGGCAAATGCCTTCAAAGTACCGTAAAGATCGGAGAGATGTTTGTATATGGGAGAGATACCTTATATACTCGAGATTGAATGGATTTATCGGAATGCAATATTTAATAAAAATGTATCATTGTCGATTCCGAGTACTGTGCAGAACTGAAAAAAAACAACAAAACATTGTTTGTTTTTGTTTTGCCATATACCGCTAAGTACTCAACGGATTATTAAGTCAAATAAATTTTGTGTTCAATTAGAGAGGAATAGTGGAGCGAACACCGGAACAAACAGCCTTAGATGAGACAAATCCAATGACTCTGAAATGTGGTCGGACGGATCATTGCTATTGTGAATGAGAGAGAACAAAAGAACCGAACAAACGTATAGCGTGATATTTGTAACATTGAAATGGATTTATGATCGATTTGTGGCCAAACAGTTATAATTTCTTAGATATTCCAAGCCAACATCTCGGAGATTTGTATAAAAGTTCATAGTCACAAGTGGTAAAGCATCAGTCGTTCCACAACTGCAATTCAGAAAATAACTTCAAACATTTATTAAGAATTTGAAAAATTTCGAAACAAAATCAATCAAAAATGGCTTTTAAATTTGTCGTATTGTCTGCTCTCTTGGCTGTGGCCAGTGCCGGTTTCATTGCATCTCCTCCTAGCCATTATACCATAACAAAAACCGTTAATCCTTCGGAAGATGCTGTTGCTCAGACACATGAAAGTGTTGTGCGTTCGTATGATGGTACCGTATCACAGTATTCCAAATCGGTACATACACCCTACTCGAGTGTACACAAGGAGGATACGCGTATCAATAATAATGTCTATGCGCCCAAGACAATTACCTATACCGCTCCAGCTGTTGCCAAAACTGTGACTTATGCAGCCGCACCCACCGTAACCAAGACCGTTTATAATAACCCCGAAATTCATGAACAACAACATACTGAAGAGCATGTTTATGCTGAACCTGCACCCACAGCTGCTGTCTACACTCATTCGGCTCCCACGGCTGCCGTGTACACTCATGCCACACCTGCTGTTACCTCTTATACTCATCATGTTCCCACTGCCCATCATACCGTCTATACTCATGCTGAACCTACTGCTCACCCCACTGCTGCTGCTGTTTATCAACATCATGAGGTTCCATCTACCGCCAGCACCACCACCTATACTCATCAACATGCTCCTTCGACTACCACCTATAATCATGGACCAGCTGCCACAACTTATAGCCACAATGGTCATGGTGTCTCAGCCTATGGTTCAAGCCAAACTGTCCATTATTCACCCGCCCATATGGTATCACATATGAGCTTTGATGGTTTCGGTACCCATTGGGGTTATTAAGGATATCGATATCGGTTGTTATGCTTTGTTATCATCATGTTGTTGTTATTATTTCATTCGATTCGATTTTTGTATAAACATTTTAGAACCCATTTAACACAATTATATAATCCATTAACTATATTTGTTTAGAATTAGTTGCAAATAAACGTAATCAGTATTGTATTGAGCATAAATTATGATTATTTTTTTAAACATTATGGATCATGGAAACGATTGGAACTTGAGTCCAAATTGTGTCCAGATTATCGTGATGCATTATATGTAACGGTATTGGTGATCTGACTGTAACTAAAATGCCAATGGGTAAAAATTCATCAACCTTTTGCCAACGCTTTGGAAGATGAAAGTGGCGGGACTTTTATAGGAGTTCTATTTTCTGCAAAGATATATACCAGCCTCAAAATCCCGGAATGGCCAATTAAACACAAGTTTATCTGATACAAATCTCGAAAATGGGGCTGTAAGATCACATAGGAATTATACGAAAACGTGGATTGTATTCGCTAATACAATTTCAACATACTAAATTTTATTCCGATCAGGAACACATTTACTTTGCGAGGTCTCCTACGAATATTTCGAGGTGTTGCAAACGGAATGATACATTTAATAGGCACTCCAAATTACGGTGGATGGATCTCGTTCCTAATTTAGAGACCTCAAAGAGCATAGAACCCCCGAGAAAGCTACTGACTAGCATTGTTTCCATAATGGAGACAACAACCTTCATCAGACGATGGGGCAGGTTGACATGCTTTTATTATATACCTTCTGAAACAAAATCGAGATCTTGGTCTGGAGGGTGGAAAATTCCCTACCCTACACAACTATGTTGTCAGGTATTATCGCTTTGTGTGTCTCAAAGAGTTTGTAACGCTGCGAAATATTGGTCCTAGACCCTCAAAGCCGATCGTCATATCTCGACTGGCTGAGTCGATCTAGCCATATGTCCGTCCGTACGTCTGTAAATTATAAGAAGAACCCATTATTTTCGGTAATGATTTGAGGGATGAAACGGCCTAAAAACTTTGTTTTTGGCGGTTTTTCTGGTCGCTCAAGAGGCCGCAATTATGACCTGAACATGGAGAAGGCGATCAGGCCAAAGAATAATCGTGACTGTTCTGATAAAGATCGGTCAATATTTAACGGGTCAAATGGACGCTAATTTTTTGTGAAGAGTATATAGACCGAATACGTTGAATGTATATCTGAGAGGAATGGTTGAACGTTAAATTAATACCAAATATATGGCTGTATGTACTCGGATAAGGGAGTAATACGTAAATATGTTCTGCAGAACATAGACCGGAGACGTTGAATGTATATCTAAGAGGAGTGGTTGAACTTTAAATTAATACCAATATATGGCTGTATGTACTCGGATAAGGGAGTAATACGTAAATATTTAAAGTGGTCTACGTATTCTGATATTGTTTAGTATTAACATTACCACACTCGGGGGCGGAAATGTAGCGCTAATGTCTAGGAAAGGAAAATGTGTATAATATTCGATGATGATTAGATGATATTTCTGGTATAAATTGGAGCGAAAGTTTTTTGTAAGCCGACCCTCACTAATTTTCCACTGGGAAGGCGATCTGACAAACTAATTTGAATCGATGTGTTGATGATGATCGGTCAAATGAACCAAAACTTTTTTGGGTAAATATCACTCGGAATATAGATTCGCAGGAACTTCGAGCTCGGTGAAGGTTGCGCTCCTCTTCAGAGATGGTCCGTCAGAAACAGTGACGTAAATTACATACATTTTCGACGTATATTCACCCACCCAAAACCATTAGGTTTTTGACAGAATACCTATATCCATTAATGAATTTGGAAATTACGTATGCTTTACTGAAATCCATATAAAATTTCAAAAAAAAAAAAAAAAAAAATTCTCCAAAAAGTTTAGAATTTTGTATTAGTTCTAGTAAGGAACGGCCTGATATATGTAAAAATAATATGTATTTTTGAAAATAACGGTATATGGTAATAATATTCGAATAAATGACGTTGTCTACATTTACTACATTTTATACAGGTATATGACGTTTTCGACGTTTACACCTTTTTGACAGTCGAAAACCTAAAAATTCGTCATACGGACCATACCTGCTCCTCTTACTGGTTTTATAATAAATTACATCAGTAAAATTGAATGAGGAATTTTTATGTAGAACATTTCGTCCTTCTGACTCGATTCCTTATGTGTCCTTTTCAACCTTAATTTATTGAACCGGTCTTCAATAGTCACAAGATGCGATTTTTCTTCCTCGCAATATTCTACAAAGATATTGCTCATTAGGTCCTCCTCCTTCAGGAGTTTTCATATACTCACTGAGGTCTTTCATCCACTATTCAACCCCCAAAATCTTGTCCCACATTGAAATTTATATTAGTACTTCTAGAGCGATTTTCTCTTTTACTAGCTCTGGAATAAATCAAAAAAATCGATTTTGAATAAAATACGTTTTAAAGTTTCTAAGAGAGGAACTTTTTCGGCTTCTCAATCGGAGTTTGTAAGATATTTTCATCTGAATTTTTACGCAACATGAAGTCTGATATAGCCAAAAATTCTTCATCATTCACGATTTTTGATTTAGGTCGGTCTCGTAGCAAATGAGCGATGTTCTTCGTAATAATACCTACCTACTTCACCTAGGTTATTCGATTTTTTTGTCGGAAGCAACTCTGAACTGGTTAAGGCATATTTAGTTTTCTTGTACTTGTACATTCAATAAAGTCGTACAGAAATTCGTTTACAATAAGTTCAAACTACTTCTTCTAAACCTATATGACTATTTTTATCTTAGATAATCATTACTACAAAACTTTAAAATCTTATCTAAGTTATCTATTAAGTACTCTCAACTTATTGAGAATACTTAAAAATATTGAAATGATACTTGGGGAATTACCCACATATAAGAAGATCGACAGTGATTCATTTGTATTTACCCCTAATGTAATGCGATTATACAAATATATATATATATGTAAACATTAATCACAAAAGCGCATTGCAAATACATCTATACGTATGTGGGGCGTCACCAAAAATATAAAAAAATATATTGCTTAGAAGTTGGTGGCGCTACACCTATACTTTAATATTCTCAATTCTAAACAACACATCGAAATAAGAGTTTTTTATGAGAAGAGAGTTTTTATAAGCCCACTTGATCAGATTTTTTAAGTAAAAAATAATAATAATAATAGAAATAAGTTTTAAAAGAAGAACTTTTTAGTGTGTCAAGTTAATAATTTTCTGCTTGGGTCATTGACACATAGACACAAAATATACTCTTCGAAGTGTACAACTTTCTTAAAGTTGCTGCGTTTATTATGACATGGACTTTGCTCCGCAGCACCTATTGTACGCGAACAATTGTGCCAACTAGTTTCGAGTTATGTCGCAAAGCAAAACATTAGAAAGAAGAAGAAAAACTACAAATGAAATTGTCTGCATGTAATTAAAAAAAATATTAACTTCCTTATTTATTATGCATTGCTGAAAGTTTCTTGTTTAACTAACTTGAAACGGAACAGAATGTAGTATATACCCTACATCACTACTAAAGTTAATATATCAAGTCTTCTAAAGGTCTTTCACAGATGCTATAGATTTCCTATATAAATATATATACGATATACCATAATAAACCATGCTATAGTGTATATTCAATTTGTCATTGTGATTGGAAAAATCGATATATATATATATATATATATATACAACTAAGCCCTTTTTTACAGGTAGATTGGTTCCAGAAGAAGCCGTGTAAAAAAGGGATTCCCCTAAATTAGTGCTATTTACATTTGCTTTGACCAGTAAAAATTGTTTGTACCCGCTAAAGGGGAATCTTTAAGCTAGTGTTCGCAAACTATCGATACTATCGATGGTTTCAGACTTTTTTCTTTCAAAAATACTTTTTTTGTGATATGAACGTAATTCGCAAAAATTAAATTTGACAAAAAAATTAAGTAAATAAAATTTCAAATCGTGCTAAATGGAATAAAATCGTGTAAAAAATTAAAAATATTCAATTTTCAAACCGTGTTATATCAAAACCGTGTACAAAAAGACCGTGTAAAACAGACTTAGGTGTATATATATATAAACTTGATCAGAATTACAGCTTTTATATTTTGCTCATATATTCCTACCACTCCTAGTATGCTTTCCATTAAAAATTGTGATATATTGGCCCAAATTCTGATCTATTTTCGGTATTTTAAAATTGTAGCCTCATTTTTTTCAAACGAAACGACATACATACATTTTTCTTATCTAGTCCCCATGGATGAGGATCATCTAGGGAAATTTTCAATACGAAGAGGTTGTGATTTGGAATACCTTTTTATAATGGGTTAACGAGTAGTTCCGAATAAATATTCATTATAGGTCCATTCTTTGACGAAACCCTATTTTCAGCATTATTATTGTCCTAAAGACATTTTCAAACCCAAGGGCATGTTCTTGGTTGGTAAAGAAAATCGTCAATATATGTAAATGTTGATATGGCTCGTATATGTATGTCTCCCTCCTGTTCGATGTACTGAAGATGAGGATATTTTTTAATTTATAATATTTCTGTCTGAACGTGACATCTCCTGTTCTCTCTACCTATATTAGATGTAGCTGAAGATCTGAACAAAAAGCTGAACATTTGGTTTTATAAAGCTGGACAAAACAAAAAACAAGTTGGACATAAAAAACATTTAGGTGGACATTCAAATACAATCGTTAAATCTGTCTGACCTTTATATAGGGGTCTATGCCATGGTGAATATTTAGTGGGAAGATTTGACACCCAATGGAAAAAATAAAATAAATATTTTATGTCTCTGAGTTGACCGACTGTATTTGACATTCTCGAAATATTTCTGGAAAATATTAAGTTCGACTAGGATAAACTTGCGGCGAACGTTACATGTTTATATATGTATATAAAATACCTTCTATAAATGGATGACATTTTATATGTCGTCCATCGATAGGTGGCCTTTTACAGGCACTTTGTTAATAATTTCAACATTTTTTCAACCTCAATGAGGGTACATACACTTTGATACAACAAAAATGTGTCTTATCGAAATATTTTTCAGAACCTAAGTTTCTTTGATTCAAATACCTTTCAATTTGATGTCCATTTCAAATGTCTGTCAGGCTGGTGCGTACGATTTCATGCAAACTTTTCACATCAGTGGAATTGAATATTGATCCACAAATATGCACCGTAATCGCACAGAATTCGATTTATGAGTATCTGTTGAAATCACGATAGAGATCGTAATATTCAAGATAGAGTTTCGAAATTTTGCACACTTTTGGAGCCGATATATCCAGTATTTTGGAGATTTTGAACACGCATTTTAACGTAATTAGCTGTAATTACGTATTTTCGGTTCTCATTATATAGCACATGTAAAAAATTAAAAAGATGTACAAAATAAAAAAATATTAATATTAACTTAAGTTTCAGGGTAGCCCCCAATTATCGGTATTTTAAATATTTTGAACACGCTTTCCAACTCAATTGGCTGTAATTTTGTATTTATTGTTCTCATTGTATAACACATCCTTGTACTAAAAATTATAAATATATAAATTTTAAACCAAGTTTGAGGGTAGCCCCCGTAAAACGGCACCCCCACACCTAAGTACTGAAAATGATTAAAATGGATCCATGCCGGTATTTTGGGAATATTGACACGATTTTCTACCCAATTGGCTGTAAATTGTATTATGATTGGCTGTCGAATTTCACTACACATAATTATCGATATTGATCCCCGTTTTTGTAAAGCCCCATAAACGCTAGTCCCACTATTAGATAATTATATTTTTCTCATCTATTTCACCGGTACTACTGATTCACAATTGTTACCCTTGATATATAACATATCGAATACACTAGAAGAAGTGAACCGATAAGTCTCATAAGGAGAAAACTCCTATCATAACATGAGTCTTCTCCTAGGAGACCCAACAATATTAAATATTTTGAATTTCATCCTTATTGTGGAGGGAATAAAAAGTTCGGCCGGGCTGAACTTAACATATTTTTAATTTGCTTATAATTTAAGACATTAATACTTTAACCAATCATGTTGAATGTTTGAAAATGAGGCTTATCGATTCACTTCTTCTAGTGTATTCAATATTTTATATATCAAAGGTAACAATTATGTATCAGTATTTTAAATTTATATCGACCCTTCAAATTCTATCAACTAGTTCCTTGTATGAGCCTGAATGAATGAGTCAGTCTCTTACCATGTGACTCAAAAATGTCTACTCTGGAATACAAAAATCCATTTTTCTTAATTAAAAAAGTGCACTGGTTGCGATGAATCTTCATAAGGAGGAATTACAACAAAATATATATTCGTTGCGATTAGCAAGATGTAATCAACAATAGATAACAAAAAAATAGACATAAGGTCTTTAATAAAAATTAACACTTTTCGTAAAACCTTGTTCATACCGTTTGCTATGCCTCAAATTGTATTTAGCATTGACGATAGAAAAGGCGAGGCTACAAGCAATAGTACAAAGAGAGCCGAACATTTTTCGGAATTTCTGTATTCCGTGGTCATTATAACCGATATCGTTATCGACAGTATACACAGATGTATAGGCATCCGAAAGAGGTCAATGTCACCAACCGCCTAACCCAAACCAAACTGACTAACCAAAAGTGGGTAGGGTGCCGAGAAAAGGTATGAGTTGCATGTTTACAATGACAGAGGTTTGTAGCTTCACAAAACGTTTATGGTTCTTCAGTCTAGATAAAGTTCTCGTGCAAATAAAACGTCAAGCGAATTGCTGAATTGATTCGAGCCCGTGATTGCTGCTGTGGCTGTCATTAAATACAAAAACTTAAGGAGAAGAAAAAAAAAAACAAAAATCAATCGATCAAGTTTTGCAATACTATAATAAAAAAATCAAATCAACATAAACAATGGGTAAAAAATCAATAAATTATTATTTTCGTTTCATCAGAATTCATTAATAGTGGTAGAAATAAAAATAACAATACAACAGTAATGACATACATTTCTGTTAATATTACAGCTTTTCAAAAACAAATTATTGTTTTCCTGATGCTGGTGTTCACTTGTATGATGATCCAGGCAATTGGCGCCCAATCGAATGGTAGGTTATTTTGTTATTTATTTTTTTATTTAATTTAAAACTCTTGAACTTTCTAGAATGTCCACCCTCTTCGAAGGTGTACACATGTTCGCCACGTTGTTATAAGGATGGCGATTGTGCCACCATGGGTGGTAAATGTTGTCCCGACACCTGTAACCAAAAGTCTTGTGTACCACGTCATATGCTAAACAATTATGGAAATGCAGGCAATACCCGTCCCGATAAATATGGTGAGTAATAAATATTATATTCAAAGGGGTTTCTTTTGGGAAAATTACTAGCAGTTTACGATATTATAGCCACAAGTATGTTAAAATACCTATTTAAAGTAGTAGAATTAATAGATTTTTCTGTAGATTAACTCTAGAAGAATGCTTGTAACAACAGACCTACTACAGTCCCTATGAATGTAAGGTATTTTTTCAATCAGTCAATCAGTGAATTGTAGACCTTTAGGAAGTCTTTTATAGATAGAGAGAAGATTTTCCGTTGTATTTGCTATATAAAAAAGAACAGTATAAGATATTCAATAAATAAAAAACAGGACACTTTTTCTCGACTTGCAAGGGCTTTTTATAAACTGAAGGCGACCCGCCATTTTCGGTTTCAAAAAATTTAATTTTGTATTTAATTCGAATCTACACTACTTCAAGAACGTCCCTATGGAATTTCAAGTGAAAATCTCATAAACTGTTGAAGATAAGAGAAGCAAGAAGAGCTTCTCAAAATTTAAAGGCATTTTTCACCAAACATCGTTTTTGCGGGCACGATAACTCAAAAAATAATAATCGGTCAAGATCTTCCTTATTTTTATATCCTTCACCACACTGTGGTACAGGGTATTATGTCTTTGTGCATATGTTTGTAACAGGCAAAAGGAAACGAGATAGACACATGGTACCTTTTGAGAATATGCATAGAATCACTTTCTAAGTCGATTTATGCATGTCCGTCCGTCCATCCGTCTGTCCATGTTAAATTGTAAACAAAGTACAGGTCGCATTTATGATCCGAATTGGATGAAATTTGGCATAGGTCACTTATTCGGCCCAAGGACGAACCCTATTGAAATTGGGAAAAATCGCTTCAGATTTAGATACAGCTCCCATATATATTTAACCGATTTAATGCAAACGATCCCTATATATCTTTCGATTTGCACGACATTTGGTACATCCTTATCATTTAGGTCTAGAATGATGTCTGCCAAGTTTCGTGAAAATCGATCCAGATTTAGATATAGCTCTCATATATAGTTTCGTCCGATTTCATGTAAATGGTGCCCTATAGTCCCTATATATCCTGCGATTTGCACGAAATTTGGCATAACGTACTGAATTGAGCGTAGAGTGATGTCTGCCTTGTTTGGTGAAAATCGGTCCAGATTTAGATATAGCTTCCTTTTATTATATATTGATTTTAAGTAATTGACGCACCAATGAACCAATAGGAACAAATCGTTCTGAAATTAGTATAACCTAACATGTGACAAGTTTGTTTAAAATCGCTTAATATTTGGTTAGAGCTTCCATATATATTTTCGCCCGATTTCTAGTAAATTGGGCATAAAACTCCTCATGTTAGTCAGATTGACATCAAAATTTGCACAACGTATAAAATTGAGCATAGAATTACGTAGTTGCGTTTTTTAGAAGTACAGACATAGCCCAACGGAAGACCTATTTATATTTGCTTGAAGACGATAGATAGATTCACATTTAGATAAATGTCACATATTTTATTTCATCCAATTTCATGTTAATAGTCCTGTTTAATATACCCATAGTGGTGAAGGGTGTCATATAGTCGGCCCCATCCGACTTTACTACTTTCCTTACTGGTTAAACTTAGTTTTGTGGTCAAAAATTTTGTTAATTTTTGAGCGATGTCAATAATCGTAGTTCATACCAGAGCCAGACATGTAAAATAAGGACCTTTCTTTAATCACCAAAAACAACAACCAAGTTTTGCAAATTCTTTATCTTCTCTTTTAAATCTTCAATTATATATGTGTAAAGTTACAAACCTTAACATGCATTAGTATTCATTTACCAGTCCAATGAAAATCTTGAAATTTAAAATCGAGAATGGGGGAGGTCCCCTTAAATGACTCTCACATGGAATTTCGTGTAGCCCCATAAATAAATCTAATGATGTCAAATCGCATGACCTTGGTGGCCAGTTGATATTGCCACGACAAGTAATAAAGCGGCCAGGAAATGTCTCTTGAAACAAAGGCCATATTCGGTCGGGTTGTGTTGCTAATTCCTGAGAATGGCGAGGATTCGGGTCCTAATACATTTAAATTTATTTCGGATTTGATATTATTTCTTTGGACTGACATAGAATAGTATCTAGGGCACCTAATATTGAATTAAAAATATGTTTTAAGATCTCCAAAAAATAGAAGTAAATTTTAGATATATTTACGAGGTTTTGATTTTAAAATATTTTTTTAAGCTTAAGTTCGAAGGAGGGCAATGGAATGGTTAACATTTTGCTTACAGTTTATTTTTTAAAGTTCTGGTACTCCATCCATTATATACTGTGCGGCCCACTTTGAAAATTTGTAAATCGAATAAAAAAGAATGTAATTTTTGATTTGATCCCATCGGTCCACTCCTTCTGGTAATATTCACACAAGGCTCACAACAATGAAAACTTATAAATTATAGACCTACATAAAAGCCGAATACAGTGGATGGTAAAATTTGTTAAAAACAAGTAAAAAATCAACATTGTTTGCGGAGGTCTTCGGATTTACACCAGGGTGCGAAGAATGATTAAAATACGCTCTTTCTCACGAATGCTTACGTGCGAGAATTCGAATGTTTTCATTTTATAGCGAATGATAAAGATACAATGAATGAACAAGCATTTGCAATCTCTCGCGAATGTTCGCATTGTACGAAAAAATCACGAATGTTAAAATTTCGCTGCAAGCGTCGTCGATTCATTCTTTGGCGAGCATTTGTTGCTCGAGAACATTCTTTTGAAAAACTCAAAAAAAAAACAAATGTTCGCAAATACTCGCGATCACTATTAAAAGCAACAACAAACAAAAATATTGTAAAAAGTAAACACACAAACAACCGAAAAATGTGTGTGTAGCAGAAAGTGTATGGAATAACAAAACACATGTCCAACAACTATTGAGTTCACGAACGTTTGTTGTTATTGTTGTTGCCGTTTTGAGCATTCTCGAGAATTCCGGAATGTTTGTGTTCATTCGTGAGAGAATGTCAGAAAGAATTTTAAGCACCAAACGAAACGAACGAACCTTGTTGTGTGCTCTCACTCGTTTGTTATGTGTGTGCGATTCATCTTTGGCGAATGCTCGTTTGGTAAAGAATTTATCGTCATAAATGCATTCGTAAAATGAGCACATAACGAAAAGAATGTATTTTGAATCATTCACGAGCGAATTTTTGCGCACCCTGATTTACACACAGGTCCCACTAATGGGTCCCATCTTCGGACTTAATATAGGCTTGGTAAAAATAATAGGCTGTGTTCAAAGTTTTGTTCAAATCGGATAGTAAGTTCGCATGATATTATAAAATTAAATTTCAGCAAAAATTAGACCATTTTGTGGGAAGGTACCAGAAGGAGTGGATCTATATTTCCCATCTTCAACTTGAACTAAGATTGGAAGAAATATTAGGTTGGGAAAAAGAAATCCATTAGAATCCATTAGAAATCCATTTTAAAGCATTTACACAAAAATGAATTCAAAAATAAGCTCGATTTTTGGTTAACCGGCATAAAACTGTTTTAAAGCATTTACACAAAAATGGATTCAAAAATAAGCTCGATTTTTTGGGTGTCAAACCAATTAACAGAAACAAATAGGATGGATCGTATTTCCATCTGCGAAGCCTTGGGCAAACGGTATGAGATAGACCAATTTCTTAAACGGATGGTGACTGGAGATGAGAAATGGATCACATACGATAACCCTGTGTGAAAACGATTGTGATCAAAGAGCGGTGAAGCACCACACACGGTGGCCAAAGGGGAATATTTATTATGAGTTGCTTCCATGTGGCTAAACGCTGCAAGCGTCGTCTCTACTGTCAACAACTGGACCGTTTGGCCAACAGTAGAGGTGTAGTGTTCCACCAACACAACGCTAGGCCACACACATCTACAGTGAATCGCCAGAAACTCCGGGAGCTTGGTTGGGAAGTTGTAATGCATCCACCATACAATCCGGATTTCAAGCGACTATCATTTTTCTTTAATGATAAAAATTGGTATCTAGGGATGATTGTGAAAATCGACTACTTTTTTGCAAATAGAGAGCAGGACTTCCATAAAAAAGGTTACCTGAAGTTACATTTAAAATGGCAACAAAACGGACATTCCGACGCATGTTAAATAAAGTCCTATAGTTCATATAAAAATAATGGATTTCTTTTCCGCCAACCTAATATACACGTTTGGACGGAGGAGAATACAAAAGTTCGATACACCTAAACTTCACGATGTTATTAGTTGTTCTATTTCTAAATTGTTTATTTTTAATTATTTTCCAGGTCCCAATAAAGGCAGCGTATATTGTGGAAATGTAAAATGTACCGCCTTTGAAAGATGTGAAGTCGATCGCATTACAAAGAGGGAGAAATGTGTTCGAGCTTAAAACTACTGATGTAAATTTAACATTTCCTTCCACCACCGCATTTCATACGTATAACTGATAAGAAATCACACATTCATTGTAAACCGCACAATTGTATATTTTATCTCAAAACTATTTTATCATTATTAAAGTGTTTTCCAATAACTACTACTATTGTGACTCAGCATTTTAATTTTGTAGTTTGAAGTATTACAAATAAATTTCACAATAACAAAAACATGTAAAACAAGTGGAAATGTTTTCTTACGATTATTAGTCAAGAATTTGTAATGCCTTATTTGCTGAATGGACTTATGCGGAATATATATACAACGTTTAACACCAATACTATTCCATTTAATGGTAAAAAATTTATATAAAATTAAAACATTGCTTGCTGTACAAAAAAATTCCTTCTTAGCCAGCCTTTGACCATTGGCACATCTATCTACCACCCCGTTAAGTGTTCTTTATTGATCATAATTTCATAGATGTAAAAATGCCACATTGTAGCAAAACTTTTAAATAAGGCGGAACTGTAATTATGTTCGATTTAAAAAGCCACAGTGAGGAAGTGAAATGAAACCAAAAAACGAAAAAAATGTATGGCTTAGCACCTGAAAACCGCAATGCAAAGAAGCGTTGATTTTGTCTGGTTTAGCAATTAAAGAGGTATTCGCTTTGGGAGGAGTTCTATTGATGGTCGCAATTAATGAACCATTCATCACAATAAATTTAGTAGCAATTTTATTTTTTGCCAATTATAGTGTTTGGTTGATATGTACACACACATACACTCGTATATGTTTGCCTAGGTGTGGGTATCTTTTATCATGCTTGAATATCGTAGCTACCAAAACAATGTATGATATTAAATTGTAGATATTTATGTTGGAAATTTGATATGAAATTGATAGAACCTATTAGTTTGGGGTCGAATATATGGCACCCTACACTATGTGAGTCGGAAGTACTCGTAGGATTCAAAAAAACACTCTGCAACAAGGATATTTTTTGGGGGTAGGGAGTGTGTTGAATATTCTTTATGGGGACGAAACCCTTTGCTGGGCCTTATTTTCTTGAACCGCATATCACAAAACGAGATTGTTTGACCTTCAAATACATGTCGCTCCACAGAAAATGTTCAGGCCTAAGATTTGAAGGAACTTGGCATTCCGGGTGAGAAATATCTTCGCTGAAGCCCCGACTCATTTGGAGTATTTGGCAGGTTTTAGTTGTAGTTTTTCTTCGAAATTGATGTAATTTTTATGGAGGGTGAATAACATATTTGCTGAAAATTTTCCATGTGTGTTCATGTTTTGACGGTCCTAAACGTATTTACCAACCGAAGTAGTTGCCCTTCAAAGTTTTAATGGGTACACAATTTCTTCCCGGAAAATGTTTAATATGAGTCGTGTTTTGATATAGTCGCGTTACAAAAATCTCGATCTATTTTCCGCGTTAATAAGGTTTTAGCGACAATTTTCCACTGAAGTGCATTCTGAGTTCTTGACGGGAAAATGTAGGTCGATGTAGGTCCATGTTAGGATTTTCGATGCATGTTGCATTTTTGATTCGAATCTATTTCAATTTGGCATTCCGGATTCATGTAGGACAAAAAACACAGTTGCAGAACATTTTGAATAAAAATCCCATGTATTAGCGCATTTCCAACCCAAGTAAGTATAATTTCTCATTCTATATTCTTAATGAGTAAAATATTTAATCCCCATTGAAATATTTTAGACAGGTTTCCCCCACCGAAGTGGCTGTAATTTGGAATTTCCGGTTCTGGAAGGGGGAAACAGCTCTGCCTAAAATTTTCGGTATAATGTTATGATTTGACATAGATCCAATGCAAAGGTTTAACACTTATGTGGGAATTTCAAACGGTTTATCCGCATTCCAACCGAAGAGGCTGTAATTTGCCGTTCCTCAACTTCTACATAGAATTTTTGTTGGGAAATGATTTAAATAATTCCCATGCAGTGGCTACACATAAAGATCCAAGCCGATTTGATGTACATCCCAGCAAAACATAATGAAGTTTTTACGCCCTTTATGTACCATATAATGGTACCTCCAAACTTTCGGTATTTTGGGGGATTTGGGCTCATTTTCGAAACAAATTTGCATCAGTTTGATATTTGATATATTGAAGGCATATACACTTTGATATGACAGAAATGTGCCCCATCGAATGGTTTTAGACCCCATGTTTCTCTGAACAAAATCGGTTCAGACAAATAGGAATCGATTTACAAATGTCCGTCTGTCTGTTTGACTGATGCGTAGGATAACTGTCGAAGAGAGTAATCGATTTCATTCAAACTTTCCACATCATAGTATTTCTTCCAAACTAAGTTCAAGTTCTGGGATGGGGAATATCGGTCCACTCCTTCTAAAAAATCCCCCACAAAATGGTCAAAAATGTGAAAAAATTTCGACAATATTATGCGAACGGACTATACGATTTGAAGCAAACTTTGTACAACCTATTATCTTTACCAAGCCTAAATTAAATCCTAAGATGAGACCCATTGATTCACTCCTTCTGGTACCTCCTCCATAAATGGTCAACATTTTTATACCCTCAGTCTTATGGCTAATGAGGGTATAAACAGTTTGATACTGTGAAAATGTGTCTCATCGAAATATTGGTTTTAGACCCCATGTTTCTTTGGACCAAATCCATTTCAGAAAATTTGGAGTCGATTTACAAATGTCCGTCCATCCGTTGTCTGGCTGGTGCGCACGATAACTCTCAAAGGCAGCAACCGATTTCATTCAAATTTTGCACATCTTTATATTTCTTCCAAACTTAGTTTAAATTTGAAGATGGGACCCATTGGTCCGCTTCTTTTGTTAATTGATTTTTTATATAAAAATATAAAATTTTTAATATTTATAAATCAAGTATATGGCGAATGGATTTGAACCAAATTTGCACAACTTATTATTTTACCAAGCCTTGATCAGGTCCGAAGGTATGACCAGTCGTTCCTCTCCTTCTGGTACCTCCCCCACAATCGGTCAATATTTCCTAGCTCAATATAGGTGCAATTTGGAATTGCGTTTTCTGCCGGAAGCTTCGATCGATTTTAGGTATTTGTATATCCACCTCATGACGGAGGGTATAACAAAAGTAGGCTTTGTCGAACTTTACTACGTATTTATTTGTAAACTGTATGTAATACCCTCTACCATAAGGGGAAGTGTATATAAAAATTGTCACACCTCGAAAAATTCACCATTATCAGATTGATTGCCGACTCAAGTGTGATATAAATATACCATCAATTAAACCACGCCAAACCCGTCCTGTGGTGCCTGGAATTTTTACAAACCCAACAAGGGCCTGCTTATTTTACATTAACATATTAACACAAATACTGACCTGTGTGGGGCCTAGTTATTATGAAATGTTAATAAATTTTCAAACAAAAATCTGTTCTGCTGATACTTAAAATTACGACAATGATGACAACATAAATAAGAATCTTTCATTGATATGAAAGGGATATGCAAACAAAACGAGATTTGTTGGTGTTCTTTAACATACAACAAATGATGTGTTTATTTAACTCCACATGAAAAAATAAATAAAGAGAAACTCCCTTATGGATTCTGAATAATAGAGAAGCGAACTACAAACAAAAAAAAATGCTCCCAACCTAACTTCCAAAAGAAATACAACTGAAACTGAAATCGTAAATACAACAACAACAGCAACGACGACAATATTGAAAATCTATTAAAGTGGGTTACTGGCGCCTGGTTTGGGCCAAAAGATCGTGTCACAAGATTTTTATCGTAAGTTGTTAAAATAGTAACAACAAGCGACAACAAAAACCACAACAACAATAGCTAGATTGGCTGCCACCAATTCCATACAGCCACCAAGGAAACCACCACTACTCAGATCTATTCGTCTCCCGTTTTTATTGGGAATAAAAGTAAAACCGAATCTGATTCTGTTGGCGGGAATTGAACAAGCATCCAAATGAATTGCCTGTGTATAGCCGGTTGGCTGGCTGGATTGTCTATTTAAGTTTGTTGTTTGTGGTGGCAGTCATTCCTTGGAAGTCGTTTGCTGAGCTATTAAAAAAGGGTCTCCCTAACCCATGATGCTGTGAAACATGTTTTTTGTTTCAGTTTTGCCTGGCTTCATGACAAAATTCCCTTGTACTTGTATCAAGTCAGCCAGTCCTATGCGGGATATCACTTGGATATATTTTACATGAACATATGTCGGCAAGGAAGGTTTACAAATCTCAACATACACATATGAAGTTTTGGTGGTGATAGGTGATGCTAAAGTTGTGATTTTAGGTAATTGTTTTCTTACTGGAAGCTAAGGCCTTCTAAACGACTTCTAGAGAGAATAAATTCAAAAAATTCAATCCAATAGAACATCTTGTTGAATAGATTAATGTCCATAATTGTATAAAATCGAAAATGAACATGCGTATCAGATAAAGCAATATTTTTTCCGATCCGAAATTAGTATATCATCCACCATGAGTGGACATTCAATGTACATAAATTAAATCACTTGGTGGTTGTTAGTTTTGCAACCTGCTCGATAGATAACTTGAGGTAGAGGCTCCCTCTTATAATGTTGAAAAATTAAATCTGGACTTTTATAAGGGGGTTATTCCATGATACATTACTCAGGTTGGAAATATATTCCGCATCTCCCCTCACTTGGTGGTTGTTAGTTTTGCAACTCTATTTCTAGATCATTCACATCCTTACTGATACACCTGGGTGTGAGTCTTATACATCATATGATGGTAAGGATGATTGTCCCTGAAGCACCCGAGCAGGTACTGCAACGACAGCATATTGCTATGCTGACGTAAGGGAAGGTTCTGCGTTTCCTCATGAAGATGGTCCACTGGTGTCATGAGGAGGCACCTTGTCACAGTTCTCCGGGCGGTGTTCTGACAGGTCTGAACACTTCTCCCATTTTCAACTTGTTCCCAACGCAGATAGTTGTGGTTTGCGATTTGACGATT